TCAACACCTTAACATGCTCTGGTTGAGCAGTCCCAATCCAAACATCTGAAATCCAAAATTTTTCAAAATCTGAAACTTTTTATGCATCAGCCTAGTGCTACAAGTGGAAAATTCTATACCTGATTTCATGTGATGTGTCACAATCAAAATTCTGCAACACAAAAATTTTGCATAAAATTATCTTTAGGCTATCAGCATAAGGTAGGAATGGAACATAATGCATTTTGTGTCTCTATTTAGGTGTCATCCACAAGGTATCTAATTATGTATTCAAATATTCCAAAATCAAAAAAAATCCAAAACATTTCTGGTCCCAGGCATTTCAGATAAGGAATACTCAACCTACACATGAATCTGAATTTGTATCCACTTAATGACTTAACCTCCTGGAAACTCATTCTAGTTTGTGTGTCTACCAAAAAGTATTACCCAGTCTTGACTTTAAATTCTGTAACAGGAAACTAACGATATACTGATTTGTAAAGCATACTGTAGTGAAGATAGAGCTCCGCAGTCAATTACAAATGGCCACGATGAGATAGGAAGCCAAGCGCCATCATCCTTTTAAAAAAGAGATTAGCAAATATTTGAAACCAACTAAAGCTACAAAAAAGGGAAAATGTCTCAATAGCCACAAACGTGTCAATCAGCAATTTAAGAGGAGTGACTGTGAGCTTAGAAAGGTCACTTCAGGTGGTATATGACCTCTAGAGCAGTATATTAAAGAAAGTATTCAACATAACTTGATATTTAATATAGAAATTATAGTATCTATTTTCCATTTATTTTGGCAATCTTGGAAAACTTACTGTAGCTTTCATTTTTTGCTATGTGAAACTTAAGAGGCATTTACAGACATTTTTGTCTACAGATGAATGGCTTATGATAGAACGATAAAGCGCTCAAAGTACTGAGGGAAAACTGTGAAGTCTAAGGGCTTGTTTTTACATTTCTAATGTTCATCCTACTCACATGTGTGTCACTTTCCTTGGGTAATCACTGGCAATGTGATGGATAGGCAAGACTCAGATTGCACTTTTCTTTTTTTAAATTTGTGATAGAGAATGTGTGCATGCACATGAGAAGTGAGAGACAGAGAGAGAGAGAAAGAGAAAGATGAGCACCCTCCACGAAGTCTGGTAGCACTGTGATTCCACTTCTGCAGTTCTCCACAGTTGTCAGATCCTGGATACTTGTGCATTGTGCCTGTTGTGATTCAGGCTGATTGGCCTGGTATTTGAACCATGGTTACCGGTGTGGGATCTGGTTTCTCTTGAGACGTGCCATTACCACTGTGCCATGGAGCCAGTCAACATATATTCTGATTGAACTACTTGCTGTGCAACCCTTGGAAAGTCACTCAACATTTCTGATGCTCATTTTTAAAATGGGAATAGCTAGGTTCAGCCATGGTGGCACAGGCAGGAGGGTGCTGCTTAGCAATGACTGAGGCCCCATGGGAGGCCCAGGTTTGAGTCCCGGCCCAACCTAAACAGGATGGGAGTGGCGGTGCATGCCTGTGCTCCTAGCTAACTGGGAGGCTTGAGGAGGACAGACTGCTGTGTGTCAAGATGGTCAAAATATCTGTCTCTGTCATTAAAAAAAAAAGAAGAAGAATATGGAAAGGGGAGAAAATGGCAATAATTACACTTCTGCTCCATGGTATTATTATAAGAATTAAATGAGATATGGCCCAGGTATGCATGGTCCTAAAAAAAAGTCTCAAAAGTTAGTTTGTTTTACATTTAAAACAAATCCTCTCTCCAACCCCGAGTGTCCTTTTAAGTACATCTATAAATCTGTATGATTTCCAGAAGTTTCCTTTGCTTGGAAGCATGTGTCACAGACTAATGGCCTATGTATAACCAAAGAAATAGTTTAATAGGTAAAGAAATACTTTAAAAAAATGGTGTAAAACTGTAAGAGTTCATGACAATGGACATTAGCAGAGGTCGTAGTACCTAAAAACACTGTGGAACAACCCAACTATTAACAGATATTCTGGAGAAGAGCATTATGGGCCTAATCAGAAAGAAACTTCCATTGTCTATAGATTCCTCAATGAAAGACCAAGTACGTCCAACACAGTGGATTATTGAAAATGGACATGCCGAGAATAAGATTTATCCAAAGATTAATCAAGGCACCAGTTCATTTCTCATCACTTTTAGCCAGTTGTAATTGTCCCAGAAAAGTTAATACACGAGGATATGTAGCATATGAATCAAGTCACAAGCTACTTTGTATAGGATCCATTACGGTCACCTTCAGGATCTGAAAATCCACTCTGTTTCTTCCATTTTTATCACCAGGACTTCAGAGGTAGCCAGATGCACACACATGTAGGAACCTCCTCCTGGCCCTGAGTCTCCACAATCCTCATTATCATTCACAACATAAATGCCTCCCTACAGTGGCCCAGCAGCCCCTGCTTGTCCTTCTGATGGTAAAGTCATCCCTTAAAGACAAAATTCTCTCCCCAACCACGCTTGGCTTCCCCCAAAGTAGGTTAAAATATGGCAAGGAAAAACAAGGCTTCCCCTGTGTGAAGTCGGTTTGTTTCCCCACTCCTCTCCAAGGAGGAACATTTTTTCCTTTC